ACATCTCGCGAAACATAATATGGCTGGTATGCTTTTTCGTCAGCTGGAAGTCGTATAGACGAAATTTTAATTCTAAAATTCTAGCTTTACTTAAATACCTAGCCGAGTTGATTTCTGCTGTTCATTCGCATTAGCCGCTCCGTTGCTTCACTTTAGTAAGAATCAGTGGCCTCTTTTCACTGCTCAAAAGTTACTGATCATCGCAGGAATCACTTCCTCCTTTATTCTCCAGAAAATCTTTTATTAATTTTCGTCTTCATCTTCATCTTCCATCGCCGCTTCTCCTTTCGGGTCGTGGTTATTAATTTTCACCCTCAATATATTGTATCCACAATTACTCTATACCTTTAATAAACATACAACCCCTTGCTTGGAATCCAATATCAGGATTTTTAGCGCTTATGCTATGCTTGCAAATTTGATTGCAAATAATGACCCGTTATTTCCCTCTCCGGTTCGTTCTGTAAAGCACAAGATAACCCACTTTCTGTTTCTTTTCCACCACTTTTGGCTGAAGTTTCCAGCATTATTTTTTCGGCTTGCACAAATGTCAGCGGATTATCAATCGCAAATTGTTCTGCCCTTCGATGTATTTTCCATTTGTGAGGGTTTCGAAACAGGCAACAATATGAAATACGGTTCTATTCTTTACTGCAAACATTTTGCACGTCGATTTCTATGCGCTTGGAGGACTTTTGATTTGTATGAGTCCGGAAATAATGGGTCTTGGTCACCATGAGAATATGTTCTTCTTTCATATAGATCCCGCTTCTTGATATCAAGTTAAACATCTGCTGAACTTCTGTAACTTTGCTGAAATGGTGAAGGTAATATCCTAGAAATTCTTTATTCTACCAACCATCGGTGAAAGCATTCTCGGTGTACTCCCATGAACTTCCGAAATCAGTCTGTTGTTTGTTCTGCTTAGCACAGGCCGTTAGTTTTTACACCAGTCGGCACCTATTCTCTCACTATTATAGCCAGGTATTGCCTAACAGATGGCGTCTCGAGTTTCAACGTATTTTGGACAGTAAATAACGTTCTTCCTACAATCGCAGCATTATCTTTCAACTTGTATTCTGTCATGTTCTAATCTAAGTAGTTGGTCGGATTGGATATCAGAAAAAAATGGATCGAGATTTAATCCCCTTGAAAAATTTTCCTTTTAGACTTCATTGATGACAGGGAAATAATGCACAAATACTCTACGCCACTATTTCATTGGGTTTTTTTAAATCTTAGCAGACTGCCGTTGAAGCAGCTCCATCAATTTGATGGTCCGGCTTTATTATACAAAATCAAATTCATTTCTATCCTCGATCTATTCCAAAGCCATGCTTGTCTTTCGTATGTATATTTCTTCGGAACCTTTGGATTCGTCTGGCAGCTCTTTTGATCAGGAAATTCTGCGTTGCTTTCCTGGGCACTATCGTAGATTGCACTGACTAAAAGAGAAACCGCGTGTTTCGAGCTGTTTGAAATGCACCCCATTGGCCGGTGATTAGTAACATCGCTGTAAAACTTAATCTCTGCAAAAGGCACATCAAACCAAGGCCCAGAATGACATATTATTCTACAGCTCCAATTCCGTTTCCCAATATTTGAATGATGAATCTGAATGGAACCGTACATGTAGATATAGTTTACAAGCGATGCGGATTCAGTTTTGCTAGATTGTAGAGGGAGATAATTTTTTTTTATTGTACAGAACCGAAAACTAAT